ATACAGATCATTGAGATTGGGGGTACACAAAAAGTATAGTAAATAAGGTTTTTGTTGGTACTGTTTCTAAAAAGGGTGGCAATGGTCTTGTTATGTTACAATTTTCTTATGAGAGAACGACTAAAATTGTATTGGTCATGCATAGGCGGTGTCAGGGCACCTATGTTGGGAGGTAAAAAATAACCCCCCTTTTTGGACGCCTGGATCCGCCTATTATAGCAAAAAAATGTCAAAAGAGGATGCACAATAACTTTGTATATGTTATCACATGATACCTTTCATTCACTGTTCGTAAAACTGGTGCAGCATCGTGATCTTCGCCCAAATGACTCGCTTCACGAATTGGACCCCCAATTCCCAGTGCTCTGGAGCCGCCCCTGGTAAAGTTATGAACTTGAAATTTTCAGGGAATGTGCCCAATTTAGTTTTAGGAAAAGTCAGAAAATTTCAGCATCGTAGCTTCAGCGGTTTCGGAGATATTCCCGAAAAACCTGAGGGGTGGATAAAAACAACCCCCCCCCCCCTGCCACTAATAGGGTTAAATGGCCGTTCCGGCGGACAGCGCCTTTCGTGCCGACGTTCTTTCCCGGCATGCGTGGTTGGAACTGTGTTGGGGGTTCTCTGCGGGCCCTGCCCTTTGCGATTTTCGGCGGTGGGTGGGGGTCGTTCTGGCCCCGCGGGGCGCCGTGGGCCAGCTGGTGGGGTCAGCGGCGGCTCGGGGTTTCTCTGGTCTCGCTGGTCCGGCGGCGCTGCCGGCCGCCCGGTGACCGCTGGGCGCTAATGACGCTCGGCCTGAGGCCGGGTCACGGCGCGGCTGGTGTGGACGAGGGCCGTTCTCGGCTCCGACTCCGACCGCTCGGCGGAGGGCGGAACGGCTGCTCCCCGCCGATGGGGCGCGGCCACCAACGAGCCGCTCACTGGCGCCGAGACAGGAATCAGCTCTGGGAATGGAGTCAGCAAACCGGCGTTCCCGGAGATCAGCCGATATCGGTGTTCATCATTGTGTTCGCTGGTCGTTGAGGCCGTCACTGGTCAGTAGTCGTGCAGTGTATTTAATATCCTGGCCACCGCAGCTCCGAGGCCGTCCGTCTCACGGAGCCGGTCCGTCCGTCTCACGGAGCCGGGCCGGCCGTCTCGCGGAGCCGGGCCGGCCGTCTCGCGGAGCCGAGCCGACCGCGGCAGGTCTGTGGTGGCGGTCCTTGGAGCACGCCCACCCTATCGCCGCCGCCCACGGTGCCTCCGCCCAGGCCGGTGTCTGCAGAGCCGGCACACCCGAGCTGACGCGTTCTCACGTGATTCAGTAGTAGACACGCCCGTGCTGGGCGGTCTTCCGGTCCGGCCGGCTGCTGTCAGGGGCAGGACGCTCGCCGCAGACCGACCGACCGACCGCCGAGTGCCCGGCTATACGGCGTGGCTGCAGCGGTCGGTAGTATTCCACTGCGCACCGCCGCCGGCCGGTAGCATCACGGAGCGAGAGTCAGGGTCACGGAGCTGGAATCCGAGTCACGGAGCTGGAGTCCGAGTCACGGAGCTGGAGTCCGAGTCACGGAGCGGGAGTCCGAGTCACGGAGCTGGAGTCCGAGTCACGGAGCGGGAGTTCAAGTCACGGAGCTGGAGTCCGAGTCACGGAGCGGGAGTTCAAGTCACGGAGCTGGAGTCCGAGTCACGGAGCTGGAGTCAGTGACCATCTCACTGAGAAGCGGTGGAAGTCGATGGAAGGGAGCGGCGCTGACCCACGAGGTCATTTGACTGCTATTTTGAAGCACGGCCTGCGATATATCGTGCATCATACTCATAGAAGCGGTCACCCTAATCAATGCAATCATGTTGGCCGGTGAAGATTTACTCTCCCCTGCGAAGTGATGTATGACGGCGGTGTCTCGACTCTGTGTGCTGCCCGCGGGGATCGGGGCGCCGCCGCCCGTATTATCCCGTAGATGGGGTGCCATTACGTGTCGTGATGCCCGGAGACCGTCACGCTACCTATCCCGGGAGCGGTAGCGCCGGGATACGGGTCCCGGCGGTGGCGCGGACAGGGGTACGGGTCCCGGTGGTGGCGCGGACAGGGCTACGGGTCCCGGCGGTGGCGCGGACAGGGGTACGGGTCCCGGCGGCGGGGACCCGAGCGGCGTGCCGTGCCGCCGTCGAATTTGTCGTGTCCGATCGACCGTCGCCGTCGGTGTGAGCCTCCGCCGCTCCATACACCGCCGACCCATTATAACAGCCCCTAAAAAATCACACAATTTATGGACCCCGGCGCAATGGAGCGGCGGCCGGCAATTGGATGGCGCCGCCTTCAATGTGGACGGACGGGCATCGGCCGTTTGGACGGGACTGGGCCGCCGGGGCTGTCAGCCGCTGGGGGTCACTTGGCCGGCTCGAATCGGGCGGCTTTGTTAAACCGGGGCCTCTTTCGCCTGAAATTCCGCAAGAAATCCGGCGGTGGATTACACGGAGCTGCCGGTGTCCGCGGCCCTTTCAGCGGGTTTAATCCAAGGGCCGGGCCCCGATCGTGACGGCGCGCACTATATCAGCATTGAGTCATTATGCCTATTTCCGCCGCCGTTGATGACATTGAAGTCGCTCGTATATTTTCTATAATACGCATGCCGTTGTCCGTAGGTAGATGGAGCATGCATGGCTGATGAGGGGTTGGCTGGCCACCGTCGACCTGCACAGCCTCCCCAAGGACAGCATTCTCGGGCAGTCATGTTCAGCGGTCGTCACGGCCGGGCCTCATGGCTCGAACGCCGCTCATTGCATGGCAAAGGCAAGTTATGTAAATAGGCACATGTAATCACTTTGTCCTGTGCAAACTGCGAATTGACTTCCGTCGCAATGCGTGTCGAGGAATTGTGCCGAGATTTTTTAGGCGTCGAGCGGCGGCCCTGTTATGGGCAGCGAGCAAAGGTGTCGCCGCTGCGCCGCCAGCTGGAAACGAGCGCAAGTCAGGAAACGTCCATCCACGGTGCAGCCGGTGCAGTGCCGCCACCAACTGGATTCCATTCTTGAGACGTTGGGATCGGAAGCCTGCAGCATGTACACGACTGGACTCATTTGCCTCGCGCACCGCATGGGCTGTGGACATTCTGGCTCTACCAATGCCATCTCATGTATATACACATACCTACCTATAGCTTGCCGCTGGGTGTGGGCAGTTCATGACACTTCCAACGATCGCTGGTGAATGCCCACTACAGAACTGTCGAAGGTTTGCAATCGGCCTTCCCACTGGATGTTAATTGTTCAATACATAGATGTGTGCTTAAGCGGGCGTGGCAAGCATAAGTACTCATTAAGACACTTATCTGAATTCACCATTCATCGGGCTACTACGGTCCCCTGGAAGTCGTCCAAAGAGCCCCCCCCCCCCCCCGCCTTCCATTCGGCCACTGTCGCCGTGACAGTGTGACAGTCGGGCAGCAGGCGTGACAGGCGGACCGTCGTGACGGCTGTCCGTGTCGTACTGGCGGGCCGGCCGTCCGTGTCGTACCGGCGGGCCGGCCGTCCGTGTCGTACTGGCGGGCCGGCCGGCCGTGTCGTATTGGCGGGCCGGCCGTCCGAGTGTCGTACTGGCGGGCCGGCCGTCCGTGTCGTACTGGCGGACCGGCCGGCCGTGTCGTATTGGCGGGCCGGCCGTCCGTGTCGTACTGGCGGGCCGGCCGTCCGTGTCGTACTGGCGGACCGGCCGTCCGTGTCGTACTGGCGGGCCGGCCGTCCGTGTCGCTGTCGGCGGCCCGACAGCGACACCGTGATGGCCCGGCGACGAGGGCCCAGCTGCAGGGAGGCGTCTGACGGGTCGGGAGAGCGGTCTGCAGAGACGGCGGGCGGCTCCGGCCGGCCAGAGCCGCGCTTTTCGACGATCAATTTATCTGTCTCGAAAGTCAGATGACTGGAATAACCTGCCACAATGATGTCATATTAAGGACAGTTTTCATCTTTCGCTGTATTGTGTCGCTTACGAACTCACCGACTAATTTGTTCAGAGTTTCCCGAACCGAACTTTTCATTGAGCTCAAATCATCACAATGCTGATGCGGATTCCACGGGTCGGGCTGCTCGCTCGCCGTCCCAGCTCCTCCCTCCAGTGGCAGCGGGGGCTCCGTCGGCCGGAGAGGCAGTGCCGCTCCCGGTCGGTGGCTGACCGGCGCTGGCAGCGGTGAAAGCCGCTCTGACTCACACCGCCCCAGCGGCACCCCGCGGCGCCGTGTGTAAGGGTGCTGTGCTGGAGCAGCCGTCTGTGGCCTCCCTCCGTCGTTTGGTTGCGCTCTTCGGGCATTGGCATTATCAGTTGTCGGTTGCCGGCCTCTGACTGGATGCTGAGTGTTTTCTCGTGTCCGCGCGTCGTTTCACAGTCTCGTATCGGTGGGTAGGATACCGCCGCGGGTCCGCGCGTCCGCCGGGGCTCCTCGCCGCGCCGGCCGGCCGGCAGCACGCGCGGCTCGCCTCGCCGGCCGCCGTGACCGCCCACGGCGCGGAGTCGACTGGACAGCTATTTCCGGCCGACCAGGTGCGTCTCGGGCTCGGCGGCGCTTCAAACGAGCATTAAGTAAGGACGCGGACTGCTGGCCGGAGCGCCCGAGCCGGCGCCGACGCCGACAGGCGCCGTCTTCCGTACCGGATGAGATATAGGTCAAATGCAGGACAAGCTCGATTTTAGAGCGACACATTGGAACCTGTGAGAACGTGTGGTCAGACCGTAGCGCCCGTGGGCTGACCAGATGTGATGGTCCGGTGTGGGTGTTTATTTCTATGGTGGTCTCACTCCCCGACTGCCGCCACTGACCTGACCATTGATCTGACCAGCGATACTGGCCACCGATGCTGGCTCTGATCTGATCCCCATTGACCAATCTGGGCCGATCGGCGGCCGGCCGGCCGTTCCCACGGCCGCCGTCGGCCATTGTTTACCGGCGGCGTCTCGGTCCGGGACGCGGCCCCACCGACGGAGCGGCGCCGGCATCCGCGGACTGTCGGCCGACCGCGCGGCACGCGGCGACAGTGGCGGCCGCATAGCCGAGCCGGCCGCACCGCGCGCGTAAAAACCGACCGACGGCCATCGCCCAACGACCAGCCGGTAATTGGGGAAAAATAATTGTTTTCAGTCGTCGGTCGGCGGCGGTGGCGGACTGACGCGCTGAGTCGGAACCAGGGACGGACGGAGGACAGCGGACAGACGGGTGGACGGACGGAGGGCAGCGGACAGACGGGTGGACGGACCGAGGACAGCGGACAGACGGGTGGACGGACGGAGGACAGCGGACAGACGGGTGGACGGACGGAGGACAGCGGACAGACGGGTGGACGGACCGAGGACAGCGGACAGACGGGTGGACGGACGGAGGACGGGCCGTCGGCGGTGGACGCGTCAACACGGTCCCGGCCGGGTACGGACAGAAGTCGGCCGAGTGAACAGTGGACAGTGGCCGCGCTCCGGGTGATATCTGCCTTCGTGTCAGTGGCTTGGAGGGACTGAGCCGATTTTCACTCAGCACTGAGCCGGCCAGAACCTCTGGACTGGGACGGTCCCGGCATCTCGCGGTGTCGCGGTCGGTTCCCCGCCAGCCCTGCGGCACGGAGGTCCAGGTCAGAACACTGCCTGATGGGAGAGGGCAGTGGGACCGGGAGCCTCGAGTGGATTGGACCCTGCTTGACTGATAGTACCGTGTGCTGCCTTTCTTAACGTTTGGTTAATATGCCCTGCTATTTATTCCTTCATCGCTGCTAGCAATGTTAATCAACGAAACTCGATTGATGCATCCATAGCTTATTTCACATGGGATCTTAAATTCATCGGGACTCTAGCTCACCTAATTGCTATCTGAGTCGTACCAGCCCTGAGACTGAAGTAACCGATTGAGTGAGATAATCGTTTGGTAAGGATTTTTGTTGAGATCCCAAGATGTCACAGCCGGTTATCTTTTCGTACAAGAGCATGCCTGTTTCAGGTAACTATAAACTAGGGACACTTCGGCCCCTCTTCACTCACACAATTAACGCATAGGTTGATTATGAATTAGAAACTGAATTCAGCTATACGGGGCTGATTTTCAAAGAAGACTCCATTGTTGGATAAAGTCGTGGCGTGATCCGGTTCCGAACCTAATCAGCCAAAGGGAGCGGGCGGCTTGCCTGCCGTCGCCGGTGACGTATAGGTAACTAGCTTCCCGTGCCGATCGGGCCTGCGCCGTTCCTGGCATTCCCGCGCCGCTCCAGTCCGGCGCAGGATTCCGTCGGCGACGGTCCCGACGCGCCGGAAATGCCGCACGGCCTTTCTCCCGGATTCCCGACGATTGGTAACGCGGCCGCCGCCGGTCTGTGTCTCAGCTCATTTCTGTCGGAAGCCAGTTTCGAAACGGGCTTCCGATCCGTAAATGTGGGTCTTGTGCGCTCACCACGTCGCATTTAGCTTTTGCCGCTGATAAAGGGCGCACGATTCACATACAGTCCCACCACATCCCCTGTGCAGCTTTATCCCCGCGTGTGCAGCTCAGTTCCCGCGTGCACCGCCCGGCTGAGGACGGTCGGCCGCCAGCGCTGACGGGGCTCTCCAGCCGCGGCCGCGTATCGGTGCCCGCCGGCCGGGCCGACCAAGTACCCCCGCCGGCCGCCGGACGTCGTCGCCGTGTCGTGCCGTGCGCCAGTGCTGCCGCGGAGCCCCCGCCGCAGCCGGGGGCGCGCCCCGGGCCGTGACCGAGCGTGGGAGCCGGACAGCCGGCCGGCCGACCCGGCTCCAGCGCTGCCCGGGATGCCACGGAGAGCGTGCCGCCGCGCCGTGGCCGGCGGCGGTCCTCGGCGGCCGATACAGCCCATTGGCAGCGGCTGCAGCCGGGGTCGGGACCCGGCCCCCGGACAGAAGCGCTACCGCTCCGCACAAGACTGATGCTGATTAAAAGGGCTCGGAGCGGTTCGCAGATGATAGCGTTGGAACGGGTAGTTGGCTGCTGGGTATGGCTACAAAATGTCCTAATTGCACATGCCAGACAAATTACAAATGGTTTCTGTTGTACCTGCTACCGGGCTCAGCTTCATTCATATCAATTATGGGCATCATCCTCATTCCTTAGTAATGCCTGCCGCCTTAACGGAGTATGAGGAGGCTGATAGATTTGGTGTATTCTTGCCGATATAGGCAGTTTTACCAAGCACGTGAGATCTGCTTCTTTAATTCCCCCCCCCCCCCTTACAAACACAGCTCCGTTTATCTGTTCACGGCGTGCCCAGCCCAGTCTCAGCCGACCTGTCACGGCGCAACTGACTGAGACGGTAGAACTCATTCCAACTCCCCGGAGCGCCGGTCCCGTCACGGTGTTACCGTCACCCAAACAGAGCCTGTCCCGCCGCTCCACAGCACCTCAGCTGATGAGGTTGCCGTCTGAGGCTCAGTCTGCGGTGACACGACGATCCCGCCACATGAGCTGTACCGTCGTGCCGCCGGGGGGTTGCCGCGCGCCGGTCGCGTCACGGCGTCGGCCGGCGGGGCGCAGCACGGAGTCACGCTGGCGTGTTTCCGTGTGTTTTCTGCAGACGCGCTGCTCGGCTCCGGCTGGCGGCTTCATCGCCGCACTCTTCTGACGGCCCGGGACGTCATGTGACGTCATCCGAGCAAAAATAGTCCGCGGCGGCGAAGGGGGAGGGTAGGGCTTACGACGTTGTCGGTGTAGTAGCAGTGCGTGGCACGCTCAGTCGGGCGTCGGTGAGGCCGCGAGGGGCCGGCGCGGCGGTACGCACCTCTGTTTGCTGCCGTGCGCACACCGTGTCGGTCCGCAGAGACCGCGGACCACTCGCCGCCGATTGTCCAGCGGTCAGCGCACGCGGCGCTGTGTTTGGCCGTATCAAACCTGTTGGCTGACGTCTGCCGCCTGCCCTTGCAGACGGACGGGACGCGTTTTTGCGCTCGGACAGCCGCCCGTCCCGGCTGCCAGCTCGGGCGGTGACTGTGCAGTCTGCACTGTACGTACGAGAGCAGTGAGCAGTGGACAGGTGCGTGGGTGACGCGGCGGTGGCCGGAACAGCCTCCGCGCGCGCCCCTACCCGACGGGAGCTGCCGCGAGACGCCGGTTCAGTCACCGGGCGAGAGGAAGGTAATGATCTACGCAACCAAACATCTCTCCCCTTTTAGATATGCATACCTAATACCTATGGTGGTGTTGGCAGAGCGTCTGCTGTTGTGGCCGTTACGCTAAGCCGTTTTGCCTTTCATCTCTACAGGCTATGTGTTGGCCAATGACCATCTCTCCAGAGTGGCGTGAGTCGCTCGAGCTCCGTTGTGCCGGGCCGGTCCCGTCGCCGCTGCCGGTGCCGTCCGTCCGGCGGCGCCTCCCATGATGGATGCGGCCCATCACGCGGCTCCGTCTGACCGGCCTGGCGCGCCAATATAGCGGCGCCACCGGCCACCGCCAGCTCGTATATTTGGACACGGGCGGGTGATGAGACTTGTGTCTCGGCCGGCTCCGGCCGCCGGGCTGCCCCGGCTCGGCCGGCTCCGGCCGCCGGGCTGCCTCGGCTCGGCCGTTTGCACTGAGCCGCCGCTGTCTGGGCCCTGTCGACTTGTTCGTGTTTTGAAGAGGTCGTTTGATGTTTGGTTGGGGTGGAGTGGGTGCTTCAGTGGGCGGCCCGAACCACTGAGGTCTGGACGGCCGGCTCGGCACCCGACTTTGGGCATTGGTCACCTGTTCGGCGCCTCGGTGCGCCGGTCGTAGCCGGTGCGCGGGGGAGGGGGAGGACCGGTGCGTGTTGCCGGCCCATCGGTTTGGCCGGCCGTCTCCGCCCGCTGCCATCCGGCCTGTCCGGCTGGCGGCATTGTCTCCCCTGCCCCCGACCCCTTCTCCGCCCCGCCGACACACGCGCCTTTGTCGAAGGCGCCGTGAAAAATGCCGCCGCCGGCTCATCGGCGGCATTCAGTGCGTGCGCCGCGCCGAGATTGACGACCTGGCGACATTGTGTGCGCCACGCGCCGCGCCGCGCCCTGATCGCTCCGGTCACGCACTGTCGGGGCGTGTCCGACGGAGGCGTGCCCGCGCTGTCTGGACCGATAGCAGGCCGAGGAGCCGACTGGTGTGCCGGCCGACCCTGACACAGACTCTGTGCAGTGTCCCCACTCCCCTCCCCGTGGCGAGTTTTCATGGATGACGGGAATATTAATGTGGTGGCGGGGCCGTCTAGTCTGGCTTCTATCACTCTATCGCTCACCACAGGCCACGGAAGGTGTATGCAGAAAAACAGTCGCCGCTGCTTACTTTGCGGACAGCAGAGTCCGGCTGAGCGCTGACACGGCAGACAGCGCCGGGCGTCAGAGGGCTCACTCAGTCAGACTGCTATCGGCCACCAAGCTCAAACACCCAGCTCGACGGGCACGCCGCTACCAGTTCCCGGCGTGGCTGGGGGCCGGAGGTCGACCGGCACCGCTGGGCGGAAGTGGAGTCGGCCTCTTTGTGGGGTAATCTGATCACGGCGGGCTCACCGGGGCCGGCTCTGGGAGTGCCGCGGCCGGCGCCCTGTCCCCGGCGCGGCGGACGGCTATCTGCCGGCCCGGCCGGCGCGGATTTACCCAGAACTCGGAGCCAGCGGCCGGCCGCTGAGTCACCGCCGGCCCGCCGGACCGAGCGCCCTGTCACGCCGCTCCGTATAGTGGGTGTGGGCCGCGTGACGACAATGTCCGGTCCGGCTCGGCCATGCGGCCCGATGCGACGTCGTGCAGCGCCTGTCGTGCAGTGTGATGCGAAGGGAGCGGGCTGGCGGCCAGCTATGAACTCGGTGGGCAAAGCTTCCTTTCACCCGGGCATACATGCGCGGGCTGGAATGGTACTTTCACTGGCCAATAGCAAACAAACAGCAAATGAGCCGACGTGGACAGGCCGGGTGCACCTCTGCCGCCGCTGGCCGTGCTGTCGCTGCCGGCGGAGACACCATTCGGTCGGCAGGCAGCTCCCCCAGCGGCGCTTTACATGGCACTGCGGCAACGCATTCAGCTGAAACTTTACGATTGACGAAAAGCCGAGGAGTACGCCGTCTCACCACTTTGCCTGTTGGCAAAAGCGCTTACAGCTTTCACAAGCTGCTTGTTGCAGCTCGCCGAATGGCTCACAAGGCTGGGCTCAAACGATCGGTGCGGTGCGCGTCATTTGGTCCCAACTCACGCTTTTCTCGCCCGCACTACAGCTCAGCACTCGTGTCCTTGGTGCTGCGTCGGATGTATTTTCCTGACCGGCCCTCCGTGTATGTATGTACGGACATACGATCGCGCACACCGCACGGCAATGTGCGACGTATAGCAACAGCACGACGGTACGCTCTGCACCCATCCTGGTTGGCCACCGCCGCTGCCGAACTTTTTGGCCAGCGTTTGCATCACTCGGCGAGTGTGTCAGGGGGCCATCCCATGCTTCTGCACCATTGACGTCGGCCGACTTCCTATCAGATTAGGTACCTAGGTGGACAGTTGAAGGCAAGGAATCGGGTCGATCGGCTGCAGTGGACGCTCCCAGTTCAGGCTCATCCACTTCAGACGTTGATTGTTGCGCAGACTGGTTTTTGATTCACCTTTTTTGGATCGATTCAATCATTGATTCATTTGATTTTTGTTT